TCCTCAGGCAAGAACCTCCTCAAGACCCCATAAGCAAAACTGAAACAAGGTTGGTGCAAATCAGGAGTCAAACATGATCAACAAATTAACACGCCAACACTAAAAAAGATAAAAGGAAGGGTTAACCAGAAAACCCTCTAACTGGCAATCTGAAGTACTTTAAAAAACCATTTTACTAAAAGTGCACAAACTAAATCAATATAAGATATAAACTATGTTGCACCGATACGGATACGGGTACGGCAATACGATACGATACGATACATCGATACGGCAAATCTCTAAAAAGTAGGATACGGGTACGGCACTGATACGGCTATTAAAATAATAAAAATATAAACATATATATGTAAAATTAGCATTTGGGCCTTTTTCTCTAGTTCCTTATGTTTTTCTAGGCCATATATGACTTGTTTCAGTTCTTGGGCTCGGCCCAAATGAATGCATCAGAATTAAAAAAGTATAAAACAATTTTTTTAACAAAGGCCACCACACATGCAACTAAAACGGTGCGTATTGTAATTAGGGCACCCAACATCATCTTCTTCACTAGTTAGCCGCCTCTTCTTCGCACAGCAACTGTCTGCAACTGCAGATTATCAGCAGCTGCAAGCGCAAGTTCTTTTCTTCTTCATTCTTCCTTCTTCCTCCTCCTTCCTTCTTCTTCTTCTTCTTCTCTTTTAGTTGCCGTCAAAGTCACCCATTTACGTATCAGGACAGTATTGCTAGCATATCGTGACCGTATCAATGGAGTATCGGAGCCGTATCGTAAAGTCAACATCCTAGAAAAGTCTACGATACGCCACATGGCGTATCGGATACGTATCGATGCCGTATCGTATCGGCGCCATATCGGATACGAGCATACCCCAAAAATCCGGCGTATTGGTGCAACATAGGATATAACTATAGATACTTGTATATTAAACCATTCATGATATGGTAGAATGAAAAATCACAATGTGACTCCCATTCCGATAATCAACATTAGCAAGTACTTGTATCCGCATGTGAAACTAAAACAGAAGAACGGGACAGCGGAGAGTGCATATCCTTCTTTTAGTAATTATGCATGAGACATAAAATTAAAACACAAGACAAAAAGTGAAAAGTGCTTACGACGGTGAATAAATAGGTTTTCCAGCCTCAAGGAGTACTGTGACATGGTTCTCCATAGAGGATAGAAGTGATCTCTTCTTTATCTCAGTGTAGCCCTGCACACAATACAATAAACAACTTATAAGCTGATAAATAAAGAACATGAAATACAATAACATTTTATTTTTAAATAAAAAAGCACATCAAATAAGGAAGAAATAGAAAAGCTCACAGCAGCCTTAGCAAGTGCTTTTGCCAGTAGTTCTACGGCAGATAGTTCAGAGGTCTTAAGTAGCTCCTCGGCAACAGACTTGAAAGCGGGTATTACACTGAAATTAAAAAAGTATTAAAATATGAACCTGATCACATCAAAGTGTTACAAGCATCGCAATCTCAACTATACCTATCAGAGATTCGGGTTATCATTTCTGCTGCATCCTGACCTACTGCTTTGGCAACATCAACTGGCTTAGGAGCAGTTATGTGTTCGAATTTCACCCCCGACTCTCTTTCGATTTTTGAAACATTTGACCTTCTGGGATCATAAAGCATTACAGCAACTCCACTATTGCCTGAAAATATGGACACACCGCTAAGTACCACATAAAAGTACAGCCATTAAATAATAGAATACAAGAAAACAAGAAATACCAAAATTTTCAAGATTTACCTGCTCTGCCAGTGCGTCCAGATCGATGGATATAGTCTTCTACATCACGTGGAGGTTCACACTGAAAAATAAACATTAAAAGTAAATATCTGAGATTGATAAATATTACAAAGCTTACCAATATGCACAGAGACAAACCTGGATAATTAATTGAACATCATTGATATCCAATCCACGCGCTGCCACATTTGTGGCCACTAATGTCATAAACTTGCCAGACCTGAAACCAGAAAGCGTGACCTGAAAGTACCAGACCACAGAAAGGAAAAAATAGATTCTCGGATTAGAAAAACAAAAATATTTAGCTTTATTCGAAAAAGAAATGTTAATGTCAAAGGAAAGAACCTTGAAATTACATAATTCAGTAAAATTGAACAGACACAAGGGGAAAAAAAACGTGTACTCAAACAACTTACCTCGCGTTGACCCTGCTGTATGTCCCCATGCAAAGCACGTGCTCCAGGCAGCAACCCAGCAAGTTCAGAAGCAGCTTCCTTAGTCTCAGTGAAAATGATTGTGCGGCCTCCACTGAGTCAGAAACATACATTTCAGTACATGAAAAAAGATTTACAAACAATTTACCCAAAACTAAAAATAGAAAGCATATGTAATTGTTCACTAGAAAAAGAAAAAAAAACCAACCTGCTATAACAACGAATGATATCAGGAATAAGTTGTGATCTTGCTGAACTGGAGCAAGGAAGAACAATATGCCTAACATTATGACTGGCCTTCATTTTTTCATTACCAACCAGATCAGCAGTTTTCTTATTTGGTTTAAGAAACCTAGAAGAAATCTGAAAACAAGAAAAGCAAAGTATCATTCATGTGCCAAAGATGGAGGAACGGTCTTAATGTCAGAACAAAATCCAGCTATAACCAAAACAAGTTTCAGGTATACAAACTGAATTCAGAACATCCAAATTCAGGATCTCAGTTAAGATACTTACGCCTTTCACCCAATCCGGCAAAGTTGCACTGAAGAGAAGCGTTTGAACTTTACTTACATCCCCCACCTTTCCTGCAAATCCAACGAAGAGATATTAATTGCCATTTAAAATTCTTACCACCAACCAAATTAAAGAGTAGCGACACAGAACACAGATCATAGCATTTTGAAAATGTTTAGCTGCAACATAGTTTGACTTTGACAAATAAATTTTGCACGAATAAGTAACCTCGTAGAAAATTTTGAAAATCCATTTATCCCCCGTCAACGAAAGAAACTTTGACAGTCTAATGTCAAAAGAACATGATTTGACAGCAGTAAAATAGCAAGAGAAGTCTTTGCAAAACACAAAGATAAGATAATCCCATGTTTCAAATGGACAAATACAATTTTAAATAATTTGCACTAACCACAAACATGGATACAAAATACTAAATGGAATATATGCAGCAGTCACAGAAATAATCAAACATGCTACCAAAAATGGATGTTGACATTACTGCAAACACATACCTAGAATGAGTTCAACATCATCAACAAACCCCATCCTCAGCATTTCATCAGCCTCATCAAGGACCCGGAACTTCAAGGTACTTAAGTCGATATTTCCCTTCTCTATATGATCCTACAAATTTCCAAAAAAGTAACTTAAAATTACAAGCATACCACAAAGTGCCAGAGCTAGCACAAGAACTCAACTATGATGGACAATAGCCAATACCTTTATACGTCCGGGTGTTCCAATAACAATATCAACCCCTCTCTTCAACTTATATTCTTGAGGCTGGTAGGGAGATCCACCGTATACACAACATGCTGCTAACCCCATAGCACCACCATAAAACTCAAAGTCGGCAAAAACCTGAATGAACCAAAAATTGTCAAAGTGAATACTCTCAAAGCAACAACATTGCAACTTGCAAGCATTAGGTCCGGGTAAATTAAAAATACCTGTTTCGCTAGTTCCCTAGTGGGCAAAAGTACGATAACAGTTGGAGCTCTACCATACCCAGTCTTTCTAAATGCTTTTGCAGGGCCATTTATTAAAGACTCCAAAATGGGCAACACAAAAGCCAGAGTTTTACCCTGCAATATTGCAAAACAATAAGTATACAATTTAGAAATTGAATGAAAACTAAACTCATTAACAAGGTAAGTATTTCAATCCAATTCTACCGAAAAATATATTTCAATCCAAATAAACAAACCACAATACAATGGAAGAAAAAAAAATCTGCCCTTACTAGTAAATTAAATTACCTGGCCAGTGCGCGCCCGACCCACCAAATCAGAACCATCCAAAATGGTATCGAAGGTCATGGCCTGAATGGAAAACAAGGACTCAATCCCCTTCTCCTTCAATTTGGCCTTCAACGGCTCGGAAATCCGAAACCGCGAGACCGCATTAGGATCCTCTTCAGCCTTTTTCTCCTCAATCTTGGGCTCCTCCTCTTGTTCCACCTTGGCTTTCTTCGACTTCTTCTTGGTCTTCTCCTCGCTTTTGGACTTCGCATTCACGGCCTCGCCGAGCTCCGAGCTAGTATCGCTCCTATCTTCGTCGGCTTCGACATCCAAAGCCTTACGCTTTTTGAGCTTCGACTCTTTCTTCGCCTTCTTCTCAGTAGTTGGAGAGTCGGCTTCTAGGGTTTCGCTTTTCGACTTTTTCATCTTCTTCTCCTTTTTCTCCTTTGGAGTGGTCTCGGCGAGTAGATAATCAGATATATCTAACGAAGGCATGACGTTTTAAGGAGAGAAAACGTGTGTATACGTCTGTGTAAATAGAGAGACAGAAAGAGGGAGATAACAAACGAGAAAGAGGCGGAGCTGTAGGGGTTTCGGGTTTCTCCTGCTACAGAAAGTTGTGGCAGTGAGGTGCGTTAGCAGGAGAATGAGAGAGGAGAAAACAAATTAGGGTTTCGCGGCTTTTATGGTTGTAGCGGTGAAGGCTTCTTGGGCCGTTAGATCATGTACCGCTACGAATTTTGGTTTCCTACCGTTGGATTTCCATGTGCTCGTCAGTTGTAAAATATCTAGCGTACGGCAAAACAAGGTAGCCCGGTCAAAACGTGGCATCCCAAAATTGTTTTTTGGCTTTTAAAAGAGAATTGCTCAAACGACTAATAACTAGTATTGATCAAACAATTTTTTTGGGGAGGCTAATTACGCTAATAAGCCCCGGATTAAATTTGGGCATCATTGTTCTTCCCCAATTCCCAGACTTGAGAGTTAGGACATTAATTGTCAGCTGGACATTGTTATATGTTGTCATTGGGATGTCAAGGATAATGTATAAAGAAGGGGATTCATATATAGCCCAATCCGTAAGAAAAATACAACCTTCTGTTTTTTTCTAAACACTGACATAAATGTATAACTATGTAAGAGGCTAGGAGCATAGGGAAAATACTAAGATTACAATTGAAGAAAAACAAGAAGCCCAACAATGAGATATATAAGCCATTTCTGAGCAGATGGCTGGGCAGAAGAGGAGGCAGTGTTGCACAAGTTAAAGCCGTACCAAAGATCACTGGGAATGAAGGTGTTGTAGGAAAAGGTAACAGCCCTGGAATTGTGGCCATAGATTTTCACATTCTCAGGTTTCCAACCATCCGGTCCCGTTCTGTAGACATACAGATAACAGATTTGGTATGCACAGGGTCCGTATATCTCGAATGTGTCTGTAGAACACCGTTCGAATGTTTTTGAAGACGGATCGTCCAGTCGCGGTGCATAAATCTGCCCAGAAAAAAATGATCCTGTTAAGTTACATATGGAGCCAAATCTAAATACTAATACATTGGTGTTTAGCATTTAACACATTAACTTGATTCTAAGTTTTCTAACAAGTTAAGATGTATATGCAACCATATCTAATGCTAATGCATTTGGTTTTCCATTTTAACACATCAGATTTATTCTAAAAAGCTTGGGTGTATCTGCAACCAAATCCAAGTGCTAATACATTAGTTTTACATTCAACACGCTAAACCCAAACTTTAAAATAAAAAAAGTGCACCTTGTACTACTAGAACAGCATTATACAATTCCTGTGGGGTGGTGGGACTAAGAAAATACTTTATTTTTGCTTGTTTCTTGCCAAATTTACAGGAAAAAATTGGAACCTAACTTCCTTCCATTGGTTTCTCCATGTTCCAGAAACTAGAACTAAGCAAGATAATACTTTTTAACAATCCTAATAACTTTTGATTAGAAGTTAATACCAATTACATGGGTAAGGGTTTCAATTTCAAGACATGGGTTGGTCTTAAATTCCACTCAGGGTCAATTTGTGCTCTGTTCTTTGAAATACCCATATGCTTTACGCTTGTTTTCTAAACACAATCCTATCACATATTACGATTAACCCTCTTTTCCTGATAAATTTAACAGGCAAATTAGAGTAAGTAGAGAGAGAGAGAACCTGGTTGCCATAAGCATCCCCAAAGGAGATACTGATCTGGTCCCTTGTGTATCTCGTTGAGGAGCAGCTTGTGGTTATAATCGCCGTATAAGAACATTTCCCCGCTTTCTTTTGTATGAAAAAAGAAGATGAAAATGTTAGCAGAAGTTGAAAATATATCAAATTAAACGAAAGTTTGCTAATTTGCCGATTGTTGTATTTACCTGTATCTGGCTGATATTGAAGTCTTTGGCCGGTTCAGGCTGTATGATGCTTGATTTGGCTTCTGAGAGCGTGAAGAGGAAGGCAACTTGGAGGAGCAGCAAAGAGAGCGCTTTGATCATGTTTGATTGTTTTCTCCTCTCAGAAAGAAAATGACATGCGGAATGCGGAGTCGTCAAAGAAAAGCGTGCGTCCTGTGAAGAAGATAATTTTGTGGAGAAAGCGTCTTCCACGAAAATGCGTAGATCATTTATATCCATCAAGACAAATAAGGGCAAATCCGTCTTTAAAATTAATTTCTATGTTTTCTTCATTTTATTTTCTAACATGGACAAATTACCAACTGAAACTTGTTCTAGTGGTATCTCCCTTCTCATTGTTAAAATATTTATCTTAAGCCAAGCCACGTGGCACTAAATATGGTAAAGTGATTGGTTGTTTAATTAAAACATTCTCAGGTAAGGCATGGTGGTGGTGACATAGTCGCACGAAGCACATCCCCTACCCTCACGTTAGTAGGGTCCCCAACCACAAAAGATGGGTAGCAAAGCAAACCAGAAAATATACCTCTTAATTTGATATGCAAAATGGAAAACTGAGAAAGCTCTATGCAACTTGCCATTGGCCATAAGTTTTCATGTCTCTTTTTTCCCTCAAAAGATCTCTAAACGTCTTCTTTATTACATATGTTTAGTTTAAACCGGATACATTGCATTTCGGCCAATGGGCCTATGGGTGCATTTTACCGTGAGCAAATAAATGTTCAGGACCAACAAAGCCGACATAGCTATCAGCCCAAAAGCAATTGTAAGCAGTTATCGGGCCGAAGGCAATTGTGAGCAGTTATCGGCCCAATTTATTTAATAGACGTTTTTTTTTTAAAACGATATGGGGAGGAAGAAATCAAACCTAATATCCCGATGCATTAAGGATCTTGCAATTAATATATGTTTAAAGATGAGAAAAGATTTGTCCCTGTATTGAAACTGTATGAGAAAGGTGAGTTAGCTTTGTAGTGCGGTTCCGCAATTCCGCCCAAGGAAAATGGACAAAAATATGGATAGATTCCCCTTGAGCTTTTATCTTTTATTTTCCACTCCTTGGAGTTGGAAGGTTCAAAAAATAAAGAGATGATTTTGGGTTCCTTCCTTTATCATCTCTAAAAGGGGAGAATAAAGCATCACCACCCTACTCTTCTCACCAATAATGACCTTACGGTGGCTGATCATAACATCCTTAAACTATAGGTTCCAGAAGAACGGGACTGCTAAATTAAGTCTATCAAACTGGAGTTTTTTTTTTTTTTTTTGGCATGAACCACTAGGTGGTCTTGGATGGACCCCAACTATGGGTGGCACCTTTAATCCTTAATCACAACCCAGACTAATCCCCGCTCACACCAGGTCGGCCGTAGGGGGTAAAGTGCTCGTCAAAGTGGTGACTCCATACGAGAGCAAAGCCCTGACCTTCTCTTAAGAAATGAGAGTGTTTAACCACTCACATCAACCACATTGGTTATCAAACTGGAGTTTTTAATATGCTCTCGTTTAGCAATTCATTATTATGAAGCCTACCAAAAAATAAATCAATGATATTTGTCATTCATGGCATGCTATATATGGCCCGAAAATTTAAAAAAAAAGCCATTTATATTGATTCTCTCTCTCTATCCATGCCATGCTCCCGTCCACCTCCAACCGAACAATATGGACCACACCAGTGTGTGTGTGGGTGTGGCGCTACATTATCACTTCACCAGCTACAGCTACTCATTACATTGAACTCGTAGTGACTAAATATATCACTCAACTGTATACAAACTATAATGTAGCAAAAGAATTAGATACAAACTGTAACAACTAATAACTACTTCCCAACGCCCATTAACCCTTTTCCCCTACAATCTGGGAAAATCCTTATCCATCCAATTTATGTGACCCAAATAAAATTATAAGATATTAAAAAAAGTGCAAAAAATAAATAAAAATTTACCGCCATTTCTTTCATTTCCATCTGAACCCCCACTCACCGTGCTCCTTGAACCTCCTCAACACCCCTTCCAGCGCAATATCGAAAGCATCTTTCACACTCTCCAAACCCTCCTGAGGTTTCGCATACAAAAACTTGGGTATATAATCGATCACTTTCCCTCTCATTTTTTCAACCTCCTCTCTGCTTAACCCCTGAAGCACGTTCTTTATCGACGTCCCGTTTGTAACGGCGTTACGGTCTATGTAAACGGAGTAACTCTCCGGTTCGCCCGGTAAAAACCACTCGTACTGTATGTAAGCGGTTCGCTTCCAGAAGAAGACCGGGATCGAACCGGCCACCATGCAGTCGAAAATCGACCTCCGCGTGAAGCTATCGCCTCTCGGCTGCAAACAAAAATCCGAGTCCAGAAACGTTTCGAGGATCGCTGAGGTGCCGTTCGAGCACTTGGTCCCCGAGCAGTCCACTACTCGGCACGACTCTGACTCGCTCTGGCAGTGACTCAGCAGAAGCCCTCTGAAGTCTTTCTTTATCGCGCCGCGTTTCGCTCCGGCGAAGCAGAATAGCTTCGTGCGGTTGCGCGTACGGACGAAGCTCTGCCACTCGGCGACGTCGGAGTCTGACCTGGGGTGGAATCCGGTGGGGTAGGGAACACCGACGTCGAAATAGTCCCACGGGTTTCGCTCAATCAGGAGACGCGTGATGTTTCTCATGCCGGGGAGGTAAATGCAGCGTGACCCCCAATCTTGGTCGTTGGACCGTCGAAAGTCCCACGTGATCCGCCCCATCGTGATGAAATGATCCCAGCCCTCGGATCTTTTGTAGTACGGCTGGTCCTGGACCCACCTAAGCATCATCTCGCAGTGGCGGTCGCGGTCCTGTGCGGTACTGGAGTTCGACCACAAGTACTTGCCCACCGCGAGTCCAGCGTAGAAGGGGATGTAGAACGCCGTGGCCGATTCTGGCTCCATGACCCGGCACTTATGGTTCAGGATCCGATTGTGGAAAATCACCTCCGAAACGAACTGGTCCGTCCAGTACCACGCCGGAGCGAGATTCTCTGGCACGACTCCGGCGATTCCCGTCGCCTGCTGGCCGAGCCCCTCGTTCGCCAAGGCTTTGCAGCGCGAGCTCCACGGGTTGAGGTCGTCGCAATTTTGTAAAATCTCTTGGTTGAGGGTTTTGGGGAGGTCGTAGACGAAGACCCGGCCCGACCCGCATCGGTCTTCAGGTTCAGGTACTGGTAAGGGTTCGGGTTTAAGGGAGTTCGGCGGAGAAAAATGTTGGCGAGAGAAAGGGAGAGAGCGAAGAGTGAAGAGGAGCAGGACCTGGAGGGCGAGTATGGCGAAGAGTAGGCATGTGCGAGGGTGGTGGATATGCTGGAGGAGTGAGTTGAAGGAGTTGAGCGGGTCCGGACTTTTGGGCCTTTTGAGTTGGGGCTCTTTAGACGGATGCTCCGAAATCGAAAGCATCAGAGAAAGAGGAAGAGAACGGCAGAGCTGATAGGCTTTTCCCGGCGGGTTTAACCGGAAAAATGGTGGATTTTAGAGAGAGAGAGAGAGGAAAGTGGTGCTGTTTTGTTTGTTTCGAGTGAAGGTGTGTAGAGCTGTGTGAAGAAGGAGGTGAGGCAAGGACACGTGTGCGGTGTGATGACCGGCTGCTACGGGAACCGACAGAGTGCAGACCGGCACGTGGAAGTCAGTATATTTGAAGTATTTCCTAGTTGAAGACGGTGGAAGTATAGGAGGCTCCTGAATACATATTTTAGAAGTTAACTCGTGACGCAATGACGGCACGTGGCGCGTGAGATGCGCGCCTAAGACGGAGATCTTAGCACCTGTTAGATTAATATCTGGGAAGAGGGCAGCGTACGCCGTCGGTTCTGGCTTCACGTAATTGGTTGTACTTGTAGGTTAACGTATGCAGAAATGTAGAATACTAAGGATCTGTTTGGGTCGTAAAATTGCTTTCTAACAACAAAGATGCTTAGCGTAAAAACTTAAAAATTGTGTTTAGCATTAGTACTTAAATATTCAATAACATTTTTGACAATATTCGGGACTTTAAAAAATCATTTATTAATAGAAGTGCTTCTTACTTAGTAAGTATTCTCAAACGAATACAAAATACAATTGGTATGATCATACGGTTGGTTTGAGCGTTGAGATTGGGTGACGTCGGGGTGTTGTTGGGCATAGCAGCTGTACCGATGGAGAGATGTGGCCCTTGTTGATTGGGCTGACTGCCGACAAAAACAGTCGTTCTGGTGGTGATTTTTACAAACAGTTTTTATACACGGCTGAGGACTCGTATGCAAACACAAAATTATCAGCTGCGTTGAGGGCCCCGGATGCTGAAACATTTTCTAATGATTACAAACGTGGCGAATTATCAAAGGTGGAGGGGGTCTAAGTGGGTACCAATTCCCATGTGGTTAATTTGATTGAATATATTTAATTTTAGGGACATTTTGGAAAAAACAAAAGGAGAGAGAAAAACTTTAAAATAAGCAAAAAAGGACAAAAATGCCCTTATTTACTTTTAAATTTCCTAAGGAATCCAATATATTTGCATGTCTTTGATTTGAAAGTTGAGTGGTTTTTTTGTCTTTTATGAAAAAAATTTGGCTTTTTCCAAAAGTGAATATTTTTTTATGTCTAAAACCTAAAAAACCTTTAATTTTATGCAGAGGGATCCATAATTTAGTGTGAGCTTGTACATAATATGTGCATACAAAGTTCAACGTATAATGTCACACATAATATGTTGATACACATTAGATTATATTATGTTACTATTTATATCTGATTTGTCTTTAAACACAACGAAGGAAGTACATAGCATTTGTTAATGTCTACATAATATGATTACTGTTATATTATGTAACTGTATCTTATTTTTATTCAAATGGAATTTACTAAATACATACCATGTGGTCATGTTAATGCATAAATAGTACTAATTAACCAGTTATCGAAATTCGTTCGTGGTGAGTGAACAGCATATGGGTGGGATGCTTATGAGAGTGAAGGTTTCAGTGAAGCGTGAAGCTCCATAATGAGGAAGCCTACAAACATGGATGAACCAGCACACGTTATGACGGTGCCTCGCTTTCAAACTCATCACATTTTTTAACATTAAAACCGAAGTATGATCTTAATTTGTCACCGCCTATAGTTATGTATAGCTGTGATTGTCATTTGATGATTAATCTATGAATTATTTTTTATAGGGATATTGAGGAATTGTTCCAAATTACTACATTAAGAGATATTCTAGACACAAGCAGGCAAGGCAGCCGCCTAAGAGCATCTCCAATCGATGTGTCAAAAGTGCCACATAGACATTTAATGGTTAGAAATAACATCTCACATCACTCCAACCGATGTGTCAAAGCTGATATGGAATGAAGGCTGGAGGTTGAGATGTTATTTTTGACATCCCAAAAACAAGATGTCAAATGAATATTTTATTATTTTTAAAGATAGTTGGTTGTTACTTTCATTTATTATTTTCGTTTTTATATTTTTTTTTCTTCTTTATCTTAAATGATTTGAATGTTACAATAATTATTTATTTGACATATCGGGTGGAGTGTAAAACTATGTAAATGTTAAATTGCCACATCAGCCATCAAATTTAAATTTGATGTTTGATATTTGACATCTCCCTCTAAGAGCATCTCCAACTGATATGTCAAAAGTGCCACATAGACATTTAACGGCTATAAATAACATATCACATCACTTCAACCGAATTGTTAAAGTTGATGTGAAATGAAGGTTGGAGGCTTAGCTGTTATTTTTGACATCTCAAAAGTAAGATGTCAAATGAATATTTTATTATTTTTAAAGTTAGCTGACTGTTACTTTCATTTATAATTTAAGTTTTTTATTTTTTTTTCTTCTTTATCTTTAATGATTTGACTGTTACAATTATTATTTATTTTGACATATCGGGTGGAGTGTAAAACTGTTTAAATATCAAATTAAGAAATTTTAAAAAAGGAAATTCAATAAAGACCCAATTATTTTTAAAAATTTTAGCTTAAATCAATTAACCTAGTTGAATCAATTAGGAGATTGAAAAAAAAAAACATTATAGACAAACTTGATTATGTAAAGTTAATTAATACTTTTGGATCAAAAAATGCAAGACAAGTGATATTTGAGTGATATTTTGATGCATTTTTATAAAGTTGTTGTGTAAATTACATATTGATTGTGTTTTTTTATTATGTTACAATTGTGAATTTGAGTTCATATAATATTTTTTCCACTTATTAGAAGAAAAAAAATCACATAAATATACATATAGAGAGAAGGTCCTATTTAAGATGTTCACCTAAGATCTCTAAAAGGTAGGACCGCCACTGCACTATACTAGTGGATCTTTTACCCTATTAAGAGAGACAATAACAAACTAAATTCTCACACACTACAGTTATAAATTAAAATTTAATTGCTTAAGATTGGAGCGCAGGACACGAAGGCACCAATTAGTTGTATAAAATAGTGTTTGCATGTGGAACAACTTTCATGTCTTCCTATCATTGGCTGTCAGTTTTCAAGATCTAACTAATGGAACAGAGTTAACAACTAATAATTTAATAATATTATATTTTTTCTCATAACTCAATTGCACCGAATGACACTAAGTTTTGAAGCAGAATATATGCAGTGAAAAAGTATAGTTTAAAAAAAACCTATTTTTTCCCCTTAAAATTCCTTCCTACACGCAAACGTAACCTTTTCAATTTCTGAAAAATTTACTTTAATTCAACAACGTGACTCAGTTCCAACTTGCCTTGCAGGGGTTGATTTGACCAGTTTTTAAGCGTGACCATTCACTTAGAAAACTTCCAAGCCCATTCTCACTGGTTTGGGAATCACGGGATGATTAGAAATGATTAATTGCCCTCTTTTTCTTTCGCTTTTGAACAGATTGTCATAAACTAACACATATTTTTCTTGTTTGACATGGTCATTTGCTTTTCTCTCAGAAAAATAAAAACACGGTCACTTGCTTTAATGATTGTTCTTAATCCTCTTTGCTAAGAAAGTATGCTTGAAGTGCATTATTAATGCGCCACTTCTGTGCAACGTCAGTAAATTTAGAAGTTGACCATTAGGCTTGAACAGATAAAAACAGACGGCAATACCTGCTGTAACAGCCGGTACATGCCAAAACATGCACACAAGGAAGATTGGCCCGAGAATCCCTGTGCTTTTATAGCGTATGTGTAAATTCTTCGGTTTTGAATCCCTTTAAGAGGAGGCTGTCTGTCACCTATATGTTACTAGGGGTATAACTTGAACGGAGAACACGAGAAAGCTTATGTCGGGAATCCAAAACCAATTAGGCGTTCAAGATTCAACATCCACAGTCTGAAAGCAATGAGCTCTGGTTGACCACCAGTATTCTAAATCTAATACTAACAGATGCTTCTATCTGTCAATACTGTTTAGGAGTGAAATAAAGTGTACAACTCGTACGTTATTTGAAATGTCACGATTATACTGCTTACATGAAATTCTAACAATACACACATCGTTCAGATCTCAAATAAACACAGTCATTTTCATTTAAAAACAACACTAGTGAAGTGATATCTAACCCATCCGAATAAATACCTCTACTAACATCGAAATGCCGCTTACTGCTTCTTGAGGAGCAATGGTCCAACATTGTCACCAGTAGCTTTATTGTGCTTTACATGGCTTCCATCGCACAGAGGGAAAGTCCCTGACCTCCAACACCTATTTCCAAACAACCACAACAACCAAAATTACTAAGCCCTCCCTGCACTTACCAAGTGCATATGCAACAGACAATCATGACACATTTCACATGTCTCAGTCAGTCTTGGCACCGACTTAGGGCTAATGTTCAATAATTTCTCCTCCAGAGCACCAAAGTTTTCAAACACAATGCTTCAGTCTAATAATAAACTGAATCTTACAAAACCCCATTAACAGAACCAATGGCGAAGTCATGATTTCATGTGTGTGGGGGCCTCTTATAAATTATAAAGAATCAAAAGTTCGAACTCACAATACATACGAAAAATAGTATATATATATATCACATATGTCAAGAATTTATTGCTTATTGGTTGCAATCATAATTGTCCTCGACAAATGGATAGACAAATACATTTTAAGCAAGAAAAATTGTAAGAGATAGACAAAGAGTAGCGATTTAGCAAATATCTTTAAAGCCTTTTCCCCTATTAAACCCAATAGAAAGAAAAAAAATCAAAATTTCACAAACTAAAAAAAACCTTAGGTCCCTTCATGCATTCATATCATACATGAAAAATTGTTTTATATAAAAATATTGACTAAGTATGAAAAATGGTTTGTCAAAATAATCATTTTCTCAAGATAATTTTTGGCGGCTTTTATTCTTTACACATCAAATAAGAAAACTTGATTTTATGGGATTTTAGTATAAAGTATATATTGACTTAATGAGCCATCATTTTTAGCCTAAATCGTATTTTGCACTAAAACCGATTTTTTTATATTTTGATTTGGTGGGAATTTGATTTTCTAGTATTTTTATTTGAATCCAAATAGGGGGTACTTCCTTATTTATATTGTAAACTTAAGTAAATGGAGTAATATAAAAATAAATGAAAGTAAAAGGACAAAGACATTTACTTAAATGCTGAAAATGAAAATAAGGTAATTTGTACACTAGGAGTGCACCACCACCAACTGAACAAAGGGGCAATTTGAAGCATCTCATTGTGCCTTAATAGATCCGCCACAACATATGTGGGTACATATCAAAACGTAAAGTATTTAAAATAATATACATATATAAATATATAACAATATATTACTTTTAAAATATAAAAAAAACTTGAGTGAGGGCCCGGGACCACACTGGTCCTAGTGTGGCTCCGCCCCTGCAGAACTTCAAGACTATACTGTATCCCATACCCGTGCAACATAGCATCTAATCTAGAACAATAAGCAGCAGATATAATTTCAAATATTGTTTACACAATACAATCAGTCTTCAAGGTTTGATATTTCCATAATTAATTCGATCAAAAGTTCAAACAGTAGGAACATGAAATTGGAACTTACCTGCAATAAACTGTGAGGGGCTTAGAGAGTTCAGTGACGACAACAGAGTCCACAACCTTTTCCTCGCTCTTCCTAATTTCAGGGTTTATGTGTTGAGCCTCTGCTTTCACCACAACCATGGGCTTCATCCTTCTGCTATAACCACAACCAGAAGAAGAGGAAACAGGGTAGGCCAATTGGGTCCCGAAGGTGATAGCTTTTCTGCTACTCAGTTTCAAACCCTCCATTGATGGTTTTCTGTGACCGCAAGAAGCTAATCCGGCCGTGCTTACAATCGACGCCATTGTAATGGGTCTGGAGATTTCTTGCTCTCAAACGAAACGACTGATGGGTTAGTTAGGCGGAAGGTTGGCGGTGCTTCGGTCTTGGGACTTGTGGATGGCACACTCCACAGTCTATTTCTATGGTTGGGTTGGGTGGGTGGCGCTGGGCGAGACACGTCATCTGTCGTCTGGTAACTTGGGCTTTTTTTTAGGTTCAGGTTGAGGCCCTTTACCTTTAGGGCCGGAGCCGAGTGAAATATCCCGTTGGGCTTGTTACATAGCTGCTGAAAAAGGAATTTATCAAAGACGAAAAAACAAATTTGAGTTAATTGTCTGACAAAGAGATATTTTAAACTAGTCTAATATATAAGAAGGGAGACCGAACTCTGATGTAAGGAATAAATAATAGGTAATAGGGTATGAGTTTGCCAAATTACTTGATTTGAAGGGTTTGAATTCTATCAGATAAGTATAGTTAAACTCATAATTACTTGTTCAATGCGAAAAGCTTTGGAGTATAAGTTTTGACAAATTACCAATTACTGATGGGAGCTTCATGAATGACAATGATGAGAAAATCGCAGCGCCACCACCCACTAAAGTATAATTTGGGCACCAAATGGGCCCTGAAAGTTCACGGACAGTGAAAGGTCGTAACGCCCACACCACACGGGAAAATTACGTCTGTAAGGCTGAGAAGACGAAATTACCCCCAACGCATACGTTTTCATGAGGAAAAACAAAAAGAAAAAACGCGAAATAATTTTTCAGGCGTGCGATCCCGCCTTCGACAACTAAAAAAAATTCCCAATTACGACCAAAAATTACGAAAACAAGACACTGACTTTAAACAAGTCTCTCTCTCTCTCTCTCTCTCTTTCGTAATCTGAGAAACGTCTCCTTTTCTTCTCCCACGCTTTGAATTCAATTCAATTCCTCTCAAGCTCTATTCCTTTTGAAATTCAAATTCCGTTCCTAAAATTGAGAGGGAGAGAGATAGAGAGAGAGAGATTGGATTGGTTCAGCTTTCCGCATTTGATGGCGAAGAGAAAACGAGTGGTGTTTGGGTTTTGTTATTGTCTTCTGACGATTTTGATTTACGCGAGGGTTTCGTTTTCCGCGAGATCTGATAAAGAAATTAGGGAGAGGTTCTACGGGAATATGATGAACTCGTCCGCACCGGAATCCGGTGACGGCACCATTGCGAAAATGTTCGATCGGGTTCTCGAGAAAGAGTTCTCTGAGAATGATCAGCCCGAAGGTTAATTAATTAATTAATTATTTGGAATTTTGTTTTAACTTAACATTTTGCATTTTGCATTTTGTAGTTATTGTTTGGTTTATCATCTTAATTCTAGTTAGTTAACATTTCATTTTGTCTAGGATCTGACGGAAGCAGCTTCAACAACAGTGTCGCTGATCAACAAGTAGGTTTTGTTATTATTCTCATCTTCGTGTTCCAATATGCAATAATGTGGTCGCAACAAGAAAAAATTGGAATAATTTGGTTTATTTTAATGCCGAAACAATTTTGTGGCGAAAGCTTTTCACTGCTTTAGCTTAACATACAAAATCAATAGTTGCTTTTATTTATTGTCTCATGTCATCTTACAAACTTCTGCTTTGTAGCTCGAGTGTGCATATGTAATTGTGTGATTGTCGTTGTTTCTTTCCTCTTGTCATGTATGTTATAATATGTTAAAGGCAAATACGGATTGTGTTTTGCAGGCTGTACTGGAGACTGTGGCTAAAATCACTCATGAGAAGAGAAATGATACACAAGAGGCAAAGTGTGTGAATGTTAAATGGTCTTTCGATGTTAAGACCATTGTTCTGTGAAAAGATATTAAATTTGTAGTGGAATAAGATGTGCGATTTTGCTTTTATGTAGTATTATATGCCATTTTGTGTTTGTTTTTGCTTCAGTGGCACAAAATCATTTCAATTTCAAGGTGTTTTCTCCCTGGAGAATGAAGATTCTGAAGAAACAACAACCTTGATTGACAAAAAGGTACTTTGAAAGTTGTTGGCAGAGATTCCCAGGCGTTGTTATAATTGTCTTTAGCTTCATTTTAACCATATTAACTTATTTTACTTATTTAATGATAGGATAATGTGTTTGTGATGTCAAACAAGAAATCCAAATATCCAGTACTTCAAGTAGATTTGAGGTATTTTTATGCATTCCTTCCCTGACTATCATCCATGGATAAATTCAGGGCCCATTTTCTCAAATGTTTTTAGAATGAATTTCCGTGTGGCATAAACTTTTATGTCTTTGGTTGTTTTTAATTGATTATGGATTTTATAATCTAATGCCTGTAAAACAGTATGTTATCCCTCAAATAGCCCCAGAGGTCTTCCTTTTTTATAACAAACTTGTGACACTGCATTCCCCTGCCTTAAGAACAGTTATTGCAGTTTCTAAGTTTTGATTTTACTTCTTGATACATGTATGATTTATGGTTAACACTTGACATTTTGGCAGGTTAATTTCTGATTTGGTGGTTATCATAGTTTCTGCTGCCATCGGTGGAATTTTGTTTTCTTGTTTGGGACAACCGGTTTGTCTTTCAATTTTAGCCACCCTTTTGCTTCCGTTCATAGTTTTTCTTATCTCTAGCTTAATCTTCCACTATATTTAATGGTCTATATGACCCAACATTATAAACTTTCAGCTACATATAGTGATTTAAATGATGCAGCTGTTATGCTATCTTTTCTAATTTATATGCATGTGATAGGTTATTGTGGGCTACCTTCTTGCGGGTTCTCTCATTGGACCAGGGGGTCTGGAGTTCATCAGTGAGATGGTACAGGTACGTTGTGAATTGTGATCAGCTCAAAGTTCTATTTTTGCTGATTTTAGAGTTCTATTTTCTTTATAGTTTATCGCCAAATCTGCTACTTCTGTTACAGGTTGAAACTGTTGCACAATTTGGTGTTGTATTTCTTCTTTTTGCTCTAGGTTTGGAGTTTTCTTTGGCTAAGGTATGTTAGACTTGGGAAATTTTAGTTTACTGACTGTTATGCAGTAAAATTATGAATTTTTATAATTCATATCCTGAGGGGGAGGGGGAGGATGAAAATCACCTTTGTTTAAGGAAGCCATTTAACTTGTTGTTTGTGCAGTTAAAAGTTGTGGGCCCTGTAGCTGTTCTTGGAGGCCTTCTTCAAATCTTAACATTTATGGTCTTGTGTGCCATAACTGCTGTGGTATTGTATTCAATCTTGATAACCAGTTTTTTGTTACAAGTAACTAGTTAATTCCTGTCAAAATAAACAATAAGCTTGCCGTTTTGCTTATTTTGCAGTTTTGCGGAGCAAAGTTGTCTGAGGGAGTTTTTGTTGGTTCCTTCTTGTCAATGTCATCAACAGCAGTGGTATGTTTTTGAAGCCTTAATAATATGATGTCACTTTTCCTCCTTGATTGTTTCCTTCTGAAATTTAAGTGCACATTCCTTTCTCATTTCCTTTTTACCAGGTGGTAAAATTTCTTGGAGAACGGAATAGTAGTAGTGCTCTTCATGGTCAAGTAACAATTGGAACACTCATTTTCCAGGTAGGTTTTGAACTCTGAAAACTCAGATGGTATGCTTACTGATAACTAGATGGCATTTTATGCAATAAGCTTGGTTTATGATGCTACATTCATTCACTGTGGATTATTTCAGGATTGTGCTGTTGGTTTACTGTTTGCTTTGCTCCCAGTTTTGGGTGGTCATAGCGGCCTTTTCCAAGGAATGGTATCAGTGGGGAAGCTGTAAGTCTCTGCTTCTGTGCCTTCTTTTATGGCATTTTTATTTTCTTTTCCCATGTTGTATCGTCCTTTTTTTATTTGTTTTTATTCCAAAATTTTCTTTTGTTATAATGAAACTGAGAGTCATTTTAATCATGTTTTTTTTGCCATGCTCGAGTTTACCATTTTTTTCTCTTTGAAGTGGTCCTTTTGCAGTCCAACATCCTAATAAAGAGCTTGTTGCAAATTATAATTTGTAATTTGTTGTGTCTTCAGGCTGCTAGTGTTGTCTCTATATCTTGCTGCTGCCTCTGTATTGTGTTGGTCATTTGTTCCTCGTTTTCTGAAATTGATGATGCACTTGTCCTCTCAAGTAAGTTTTGATTGCTTAGTAGAATGAGCTAGTTACCTTTCTGTATTGACTTTTAATAACTAACTTGGCTCATCTATAATTTTTATGGTGAATCAGACGAATGAGCTTTATCAGCTTGCTGTTGTGGCTTTCTGCTTATTATCTGCTTGGGTAAGTGGACATTTTGTATTCATTTTATATCAAGGCTAATTACTACTCATCATGTTCATCCTCAAATCTATGCATATCTATTTCCTGCTCCATCTGCATGCTTTTGAGTGCTGAGCCGGTTTTGACACATTATAACCACTATGCTTCATTATTGGTCCAATGTTGGCCGAGTATAGGATACTGAGTTGTTGCTCAACTTGGTTTTCCAGAATTTCTGGAGAATACAGTTTTTATGATACATTTCTAAAATAGGACTTGAATCTGCTCAGTTGGATGGGAATGAATTGATGGATGGCAAGATGAGTGCTTTAAACTTTGGAAGTTGAAATGCCTGACTTAAATTGGATATTCAAAGTACCTTGAGAAAAGAAGGAAATATAAGCCTTCGTTATGTAATAAGTTTCCCTTCATGAACTTACTCTGAAGCTAAGATTGTGAATTACCTTTTCAGTGTGTGGATCACTGAATAACAGCAATATGGTTCTAATGCACAGATCTTGCTACATATTTGTAATTCTCAACACTGTTTTAATACTACTGAATCTCTTGTAACCTTTTCAGTGTAGTGATAAGCTGGGCCTTAGCCTTGAGTTGGGTTCATTTGTGGCTGGAGTTATGATATCAACCACTGACCTTGCACAACATACTTTAGACCAGGTACTCTTCTGGATTTCCACTTGTTACCTAATTTATTGTTGTCATGTTCCTTTGTTTACTTTTGTTTTCCCCCCTTCTTAAGTTATAAACTCGTTGGACTTTATTTTTGGGGCTTCTTTTAACTATGTGGTTCGTAAACTTAGTAGCTTACATTGTTGTAAATGCATTTTTATGTTGCAAGTGTCAGGGTCATGTGTTAATGTTCTTTTTGTTTCTCAGAAAAGTAAAAGCAGATGCATGGACATTGCTTATGAATCATTTTTTGTTTTCATAAGACAGTGTTAACATTAATGATTGCATTCGATGTTTTTGTACATTGTAGGTGGAACCAATTCGTAACCTTTTTGCAGCTCTCTTCCTTTCAAGTATTGGAATGCTCATACATGTACATTTCTTGTGGAGCCATGTGGACATACTGTTAGCATCTGTTATTCTAGTTATAGTTGTAAAGACTGCTGTTGCTTCTATTGTTACTAAGGCCTTTGGATATAGCTTTAGGACATCATTTGTGGTAAGTTGATTTATAAGATTTGAGTCGTATCTTATCTGCAGCAGATAAACTAAATTATTTGCTTCCTAATTTTTAAAACTTGATTACTTTTTATAGGTTGGAGTCTCACTTGCTCAAATTGGAGAATTTGCTTTTGTCCTCTTAAGTCGGGCGTCGAATCTTAATCTTGTTGAGGTAACTTATCTCTCTTTATGTTTAGTCATAGTAATCTAGGAATGGACTATATGCGTGCATTCGCAAGTTGTGCAGTTTTAAATTTTCTTTTTGAATAAAAACATAGGAATCAGCTGAGAAAAGTAGAATTGGTTAAACTATTGAACTTCTTCATTTTCTATCTGCATATTATCCTTTGGTTTCATCTTCGTTTTCTTATCATCGTCTTTTCAAACTATTTTTACAGGGGAAGATGTACCTGCTTCTTCTTGGAACGACAGCACTAAGCCTGGTAATTTTATATTATTTTTCCTTGTCATTGAAAGTGACTTCAATTATCTCTCTCTCTCTCTCTCTCTCTCTCTCTCAATACTTACCCTAGTAAATTATGTTACAGGTTACAACTCCACTCCTGTTTAAGTTGATTCCTGCCATAATGAACTTAGGAGTTCTTATGCACTGGTTTCCTTCCGAGGGCACCCCATATAGCGAGGTCTCTCTCTTTCCCCCTCTCTGAAGCACATGCATGCATGCTGACACACTTGCAAGCATGGTATACTTTTGAAGTTTGAATGAACCATGCAGTGGATATTGCCCGTGGCTCTTCTCATCTCTCTTTTAAAATGAATATGTGTGCAGAGGGCTGGATATGCATTCAAAACTTGAAAAGTATAATTTGCTTCTGAAAGCAATACAGAGTTTTAAGTATTTGCTCATTTCTTTTTTCCTCCGCATTACAGGAGAAAGCTTTGATGATTGAAGCAGAACACAACAGAATATTGTGACCTTTGTCTATCGAGTCCCTTGTCAAGTAAAGATTCAGTTGTATGATTTGTGAATATCAGGTTTCGATTTCGCTGCCAATTCCATTGTAGAGGTTGCAGACGACATTTCCGGATATTCAATTTCCAGCTCGGAGCTATCATGTATATAAATATTTTTTGTATTATTTCGAGTATTCTGTAAATAGGAGTCTATGTAGGGCTCCTCTCCAAGTGTGCATGCTTACTGCAAATACTACAGATTTAGGAAATTGTATCGTACCCAAAAATTAACTTCAGAAGCATTTTTTTGTGAAATACTACTAACTGAAACATATTTGGCCTTGCTACGTTTATGTTGAAAATTTGCTTTCATTATGGTATAGAGCTTTAGCACATACTAGATCAATGCAGATGCCATATAACCATTAATGTGTCAAATCGGACTATTTTCGTTACGGCGAATGAAACAGAATCCTAACTCGTTATCTCACTCTCCTTCGTCATATTTAAGCAACTTTTTTAATGCAAAGGCTTTGGACCAAAACTTTCTCAACTGGCCGGCCTGTACCCAGAATTAATTGGGCTAACGGACTCCGGAGTCGGATGGGAAAGTGAAGCCCAAGAAGGGCGCCGAGGCGCACTTTCTAGAAAAGAGAAAGTGGAATATTAAAGGCAAACCAAAATTCGAGTACGAATATGTTTTGAGTTTTGTTGGACTTGCGGTCTTTCTCTTTTGGTCTTCCTTCCTTGCTCCTCCGTCTTCTAGCTTCCCTTCTCCTCTTTCTGGTTTTTCTTAGGCCAACCAAGAGAGAGAATGGAGGATCAGCAGACAGCTCTGTTTAAATGCCAGCGAATTGGCTGTAACGCCAAGTTTTCCGAGGACGACAATCCCGAAGGTTCCTGCCAATACCATGATTCGGTACTCTCTCTCTCTTAACTTTCAAGCTCCTTCCTTTTTCTTTTCGGTTTTAGAAAAAACAAAGAAAAATTATCTTGCCAGGCACTGGTTTTGATGTGAAAGAAGCTAAGAAAATTCTCGTATTCCTTTTTTTTTGGTTGTTTCCGCAATAAAATCTACTTACTCTTTTGCCCGAGTTTAGTTTCATAAATTAAATATCCACTGAGATTAGTGCAGTGCAGCTGCTGCCTCATTCTTCTGTTTTATTTATTTATATTTTTTCTTCAATGCGTATTTTCGACTGCGAGATTCTGCTAATTGAGTATTTGGAAGTTCAATCAATTATTGTAAAATCTTTTACAATTGAAAGTTAAGAGGACTGTGTATCGATTTGCTGCATTGTTCAGTATATCTATCTTTGTGTAAATTATTTCGTTATATGACTCAATTCAAATTTAATTTAATTATTTGACCCAAATGCTGCACATTTTGTATCTAAAAGGGCGTTCGCGTGCATGCTCTGATTATAAATGATGAAACTTTTTATTGTGCCTTGTGAAATCTTGTTACTGAATAGTAATTCAGCTTATTGTTTTGCATGTTCGGCTTGGTTGATTGCGTGGGCATCTTCAATTTTTTCAGGGAGTAAGTATATGCCTATTGATTTAGTGGTTAAATTGCGTTCCTTTATTTAATTATCTTTTGGAGTTTTTGAAATGTTCCTCTTTATTTTCTCTTTTAGTTCAATGCCATGACTTAAGCTCAATATCTTTATTTTTCCAGCCTATATTTCATGATGGGATTAAAGAGTGGAGTTGTTGCAAGAAAAGAAGTCATGATTTCAGCTTATTTTTAGAAATTAAAGGGTAAGTGCTGAATTTTCACTAGGATTTAAGATTTGCCTATAACGCGCTCGCTAGAACTTGAAACAAAGTTTATTGTTAATACAAAACTTTTAGTCCTCCTAAATTGATTATGCATTTAAACTTTTGTCAATATAAGTCTTTTTTGTTTTTTTTTGTTTTGTTTGTGTGAATGAAGTTGCAAGACAGGTAAACACACAACAGAGAAACCAGTGTTGCCCAAGGCGAAGCCTAAGACTCCTGTTTCTGCTCCTACTGCTCCCCCTGCAACTGATGCATCGTCAAAAGAGTCATGCTCTAGGTGTCGGCAGGGTTTCTTCTGTTCGGATCATGGTAATTTCATTTGGATCCCTTTTGCTTTAAGCATTTGAACATGTCCGTTTTTCATACTTGGTGTGCAGGAGGTTGGTTGGTTTTTTCATGGAAATGATATAATTTAATTGCTTAGAATAGGTGGAAGAATCTATGTGCACACAAATTGTAAGTTTGATATGACTATGAGAGGTTCTAATATTGCCTTCTCATTGTTATTTTGGTGAAAAGTGGTAGTGATTCAATCTCTGAAGTTAACAGATAAAGATATCAGTGGTTTGGATATTTGAAGAAAATAACAATGTTAGGATGCGATATAAGGTGATTTGTTAAGTTTGAATACACTGAAAACTTATCCTTCGTTATTTAACTGGGGAACACAACTTATCCTTCTTCAGGTTTTGGAATCTGAGGTGGTGTAAAACACGACCAGTTATATGAATTGTTTTCATTCTCTTCTAGTATCTTCTCAATGACTGGGGAGTGCCCTCTGTGGAAGCTGATTCTCTCACTTTGTCATTATTTTTTCCCTCTTTACATTGTAACCGGAAAAAAAAGCTCCATATTCCCTTACTTATCCATTTTCTAGCTGTTTGTTTTGCATTTTAGGTTGAAGCAAGTGAATTTTTTTTTTTTTTTTTTTTTCAGAGAGCATTATGGTTTCATTTCCCATATCACAAACCAAATTATTCATGTAAAAAATTTCAGTTCAGTTAAAGGATAAGAGAAGAAACACTTTTTTCTTCAAATAAAAAAGATGTGCAAATAAATATTACATACCCAGCCGTTGTAGGGAAGAGTTCTGGGCCCTCTGTATACACCAGACCTGAATTCAAAGCCTGTAAATGTGGCCACAACTCCACTTGCTGAAAGCATTACAGATGTTGAAGGCACTTCTGCTCCATTTAAAAAGATTGTTGGCATAAACGAGCCCCAAATTTGCAAAAATAAAGGGTGTGGCAAAACTTTTAAAGAGAAGGATAACCATGAGGCTGCATGCAGTTACCATCCGGGCCCTGCTATTTTCCACGACCGAGTGAGAGGGGTGGGTGTCCTGCAATAGTCAATTCAATCCTTTATATAGTATAGTATGCCTTATATCTTTAACTGTATAAGTAAGAATGATTCTTTTCTTTCTAATATTGCAGTGGAAGTGCTGCGACGTTCATGTAAAGGAATTTGATGAGTTCATGAGCATCCCTCCATGCACTAAGGGGTGGCACAATGCTGATCCAGTGTCTTAAACAGAGCAGATACAGGGAGAAGGATGAAGTGGTTTTTGCTCTTCTTTTGGTCCTACATTTTGTTTATTCAACTGATACATTTCTGTCAACTCTCATCCAAGAACATTGAGCTTTTCTGTTTCTAATCAACTTTAGATATATAGTTGTCAATTTGTCATTTCCTGTATTTTTGTTGAACTTGTTAAGGCATTACATGTTCAGATGTTAATTTTTATGTGCAATTAGAGTCTTATGAGCTAGGCCTGCCCCTGTGAAGTTCTCAGATTGGATCATGGTTGGGCTTTTAGAACAATTAAAACCCAATCTAGAATGAATACAAATTCTGTTTCAATGTTCTATTTTCATATTTTACTCAGATTTTTGGTGTACTCTAAAACTGTGCACGCATTGAAATAAACATGAGCATGTTACCAAAAAAAAAGAAAAAAAGAAATGAACATGAGCATCGTAGTGACAGTATTGATTAAAGAAACAAAAATTTGGCGTGAAATAATAAGAGGACGAAAAGTAAGGGATGAGAATTATAATTATGGAGGGGGAACTTATCACGTGTCTTATGATGGGTATAATCAATCCCCCTGTACCCCCTTCTTTATACCCCCAACCAAATCCCACGGTCCCACATTTCCTCTTTGCATGTCCACAACAAGCTCTTATTTAGTTCCGTTGCTTTCTGATGGCGGGTTTGAGCCCTTCTTTGCTTTCTACTCCAAAATTTCACAACCATTTGGACATGGGCAATGATTTCCCCATTCCTATTTTATCCACTTATACTCCTTTTTTAGTTATAAAAAAGGAGTGTAAGTGGATAAAATAGGAGAAAAAGGAGTGGGGAAATCACCACTCTTGGACATTTATGCTACTTTATCAAATATGTTTAAGTATAGATGTTCTTCAACAGAACAAAATCAAAAGCTCAACCGATTAGAGCAACTCCACCCATTTGCCCTTAGCCATGGCAAGG